AGAGATTGCTCCTTACAGTGAGCCTGCCCCAGGACGTGGAGGCTGCGCCCTGTGCCATCAGCCTGAGGCTGACCACAGGGACAGGAGCCCCAGAGTGCGAGCCGATGCTTCTGCCTTGAATGGACGCCTTCCTTAGATTCCCCTTGTTAACTGGATATCCAGAGAATCCAAACAGCCAAGATGAAGGCGGAAGACCATTCTCCTCACGCTTTCACATACTTCCCAGCACAGCACTTTACAGTTTGTAAAGCAGACTGTAACATAGACTCAAGCAATGAACCTGTGATCTAGGCCTCCCTCTCCAGCTGGTGCTCTGGCTATGAAGTCTGTCTGGCCCCTGTCTCAGTGGTAGAGGATTTCCCAGATGTCTTTGAGATTTGCCCTTCCTGAGCCACAGCACCCAATATTACATCTCCCTGCCTTGGCACCCACAACTTCCCTGTGGTTCCATTGCTGGCCCCCTCCACCAGGTCTGCTGCCTGCTCATCTCTGCCTCCTAGTGGCAGTTCATGCCACAGCACTTCAGAAGAGAAGACAGAGGTCTAGACTTGCCCTGAACTGCACGTGGTATACACTGCTATTAGTGAGCACCTGCTGGATGTGGACTGGTCCATGTGCAGTGTCAAGCTAGGGAAAGGCCACTCATACACACAGGCAGATGGGTGCCGGCTGGGAGGGGTCTGAAGGGAGGTCTCAGAAGGGAAGTGAGGACCTCCCAGGCCATTTCACAAGGAGGAAGACAGAGACCCTGGGCCGAGGCTGGAGAGAGATAAACTAGGCCTGAGTCCTGTTCCTTGTCCCTGGAAAGCCATGACTGGGGTGGGCCAGGGTAAGCTAGATGAACAGCTCTCAACAGGAAGTGAAGAACTGCTAGGACCTCTCAATATTTCTCTTCTCTCTGCCAGGCTGAGTGTCCAGCTGGCCTCCTCCTTTTCCCAACCTTTTGACGTAAGTTCCTGGGAAGAAGGAGCTTGTCAGAGGGCAGAACATTTGGGTGGGGAGTGGGGGCTGAGGCAAGGTCATGGCTGCCTCTGTGTGGGCCCAGCTCCAACAGATCAGAGCAGAAAAACAGAGGGAGTGTGCTAGTGTTCATGCTTTGTGTTTGACTGTGCACCTGTGTTTGTGTGTGCATGTACTGTGTGTGTGTGTGTGTGTGTGTGTGTGTGTGTGTGTGTGTGTGTGTGTGTGTGTAAGTGGTACTGATCATCTTAGGAAAGCCAAGCCAATCCCGTGTTCTTCCAAGGTCTTGGATCCTCACTTGTAAACGTCCAAAGGCTTACAAGGTCCAAAGATCTGGAACTTCACACAAAGTCCTGAGCCCAGAAAGTTCTAGCATTTCAGAGCCTCACAGAGCCCTGAGGCTCCTGATTCTCAGAGACTTCTGAGGTTCTGAAATCTCAGGGACAGCCTCAGATTCTAGAATATTCTGAAGGCTCCTAAACTATCTAAATTCTAAGGTCAGAATTGCGGTACTGGAGATGGACACATTTCCTTCTCCCCTTGTCAGCCACACCCACCCTAACCCACAGAATCTTCTAGAATGAAACGTGTTCTAAGATCCCAGGCTAAGGGTGAAGCTTGTATTAAGCAGAGTCTCATTTGGTGTTGGGTAGACAGCCCAGATCAAGGGACCCATTACGGGCCAGGAACTGTTTCTTCAGGCTTGCGGGAGGCGTCCAGGCCTCTCGTTTCCCACAAAGTCCCTCCCACACCATCCTCTGTTGCAGGCATCCCGTCTAGAAGAATGGCTGAGTGATGTGGTCCGGGCTGTCTATGTGCAGAGGCTCAATGGTATGGCTGAACTGGAGACTGATTTGCTCCTCGCTCCCTTGCACGGATGAGAATACCGAGGCACTGAGGCCAGAGAGATGCCAGCGTTTCCATTCACACAGCAGTGACCAGCACCATCGTGGTGCTCCAGAGTTAACCTCACCTGGGCCCTGCTTAAGTGCTCACAGTCAAGTGGGAAGCAGCCGCATCAGCTAGAGCTGACAAAGGGCACAGGGATGGACACCTCTAGGAGATGTGGCTCAAGGGGAACCACAAATGCGACATAGGAAAGATGGGGGTTGTCTTGCTTTGTTTGGGTGTGGTAGGGTAAGTGGGAATGAGCCACAGGAAGCTGAGTCCCCAGAGGGAGAAATGTCTGTCCCTCACCAGGGTTTGAGACAACCCCCCCATCATTCTCTCCAACCATTTTCTCTTCACAGAACACCTGGAGGTTGGGATACCCCTACCTAAGATTCTCAACGTCAACTTTGCCAATTCAGCAGTAGACATCATTGAGGTGAGCTTCCCTGTGGATGTGCCCCAGATGCCACTTAATCTTATGCCTGGAGAGACATGTTTGACACCTCTGAGGGGCATGCTCTGCCTCGCCCTCTGACCTGCCTCTGTATCATTTCTATATAGCTTATCTCAGAAATAGCTAATATAGAGCACATGTGTTTCTACCTTCTCCTTCCTTGCCCGTGGCAGACATTGTCAATCAATCACCGAATTCTGTTGAATTATGACGTGTCTGACCTGAAGAAGGAACCTCAAATATACTCACAGAACTCACAGTTCTTTGGTTCGCCGATAGCAAATACTTGTTTTGATCCTCTCTCATCTTGTGCCTGTGGCAGGCATGAATAATAGATTGTGACACCCTCAACACACTTTTTTTTTTTTTTTTGGTTACAAACCTGTTCAAATCAGCCTACTTCTGAGTCTTGGGACAGCTCTAGGAAGTGAGCAGAACAGGGGTTTCCATACCAGTTTTTTTTTTTTTTTTTTTTTTGGTTTTTCGAGCCCAGGCTGGCCTCGAACTCACAGAGATCCACCTGGCTCTGCCTCCCAAGTGCTGGGATTAAAGGCGTGCGCCACCACCGCCCGGCCTTCCATACCAGTTTTTAAGCTGAGGAGGAAGACCAAGGGGTGTCAAGGTTATTCAGTCTGTTATTTGTAAAAATGGCCCTTGAACTGACTGAAGTCAGCAACCTGATCCACACCAGACACATTCACCTTCTTACCCCTCATTTAATGCTGGGTCTCAGAGCAGGTGGCCAGGCATGAGGTGTAGCAGAATATGCAGGGCTGGGGCTTGGAGACCTAACTGAGAATTCCTGTCCTTGCAGAATGCAGTTGTGCTGACCGTGGCTCCGTGAGGCAATATGGCTGCTGCTCTTCCTCTTCACTTCAGAGTCCTGTCTGTCTACACTCAGTTTTCCTCCCAGTCTCTAGCCTGCATTGGTGACAGTATAAGTGCCCCCTGGCCACCTGGGTCCACCTTACCCTCTGTCCCTGTGACTCTGCTTGTTTGAGGGTGGGGAACAGCTGGGCAGCCACAGGTCTGCTTCACAAAGCACACAAGCACCTTGGTTCAGTCCCAGCTTCAATAAACTGATCCTTGGTCTTGTGCCTGCCTGCTGGTTCATTCCCTAATGATGCAGGAGCAGTGTTGGCCTTGGCTTCCATTGACCTCCCTCTTTCTAAGTAGGAACTATTGAGAGACAAGGGGACCTGAGGCCAGTTCTTGGAGTGCTGTGTCCCAGCCCACCTGGCTGGCCTGAGCAGGCTTTGGTCCTTGTCATGCCTCCCCAACTCTTCTTCTCCCCGTGGTCCATTCCCCACTCTCCTCCATAACCTGTGTCTCTGACTTTTGGACACTTCTCAGAAGGATATATGAGCTGAATTTTGAGGGGTGAGTAGGAGTTTTCCAAGGAGAAAAGGAGCTGGAACTCCATGAAACAAGGCTGAGTGAGGCTTGCCCCGCCCTGGAGAGATGCCCATTGACCAAAGAGAAGACAGGGATGTCCCTAGAACAACAGAGCACTGCCAAATGCTCTTGACACATGACATGGTCAGCTTCATTCACCAGCGTGACAGCTCTCCAGGAGACACAGTTTAAAGGATTCATTTGGGCTCATGCTTTTGGAGATTTCAGACTGTGACAGGCTGCCTCCATCCTGTGGACTGCAACTAAGGCAGATATTATGGTACTGGGGTGTGTCAGGAATTCCTTCTTCCTCTTTCCTGTACTATTCCCTGGGCTTCTAGCCTATGGAATGGCGGTGTTGCTAACATCTGGGATGGGGCTCCCCTCAAGTTCATTGCTCAAACAAATTCATCACTAAACAAACAAACAAAAAAAGATTAGTAAAGTAGTTTTTTACTAGTCTCCCAGGCATCACCCAATGCACACGGGAGGAAGCCGTCCAAGCTCCCACTCTGTGGTCCAGGCAGTCTTCCATTGCAGCTGAATGGGCCCAGATGCCTGGCCTTGGTCTCTGTCTCAGTCCCATATTCCCATATGTGCTGAGGGACTTCAACAAGATGGCTAAGACTGGCTGGTTCACAATGAACAGGAATTACTGGCTCACCATTCTAGAGGATAGGACATCCAAGATGGAGGGGCTGATGTCTGCTGGGGTTCTTCTCGATGTGCCATCCCATAATGCCAGACAGCAGGCCAAAGACAGGAAAGAGATGAAGAGGGAGAGGAAAAAGGAGAGGGAAACACACACACACACACACACACACACACACACACACACACACACACACACACGGGGGTGGGGGAGAATACTTTTTTTAGGAACCATTCCCACACTGTGGAATTCACTGCTTGCCTGCTGGAGGGGTACTCATCAGTGCATGAGGCTGGAGTTCCCACAAACCCAACACCTCCCACTGGCCCCATCACACAGGGAGCACATCCAGACCACAGCAGATACTTGTCTGTGATACAGGGAAGCCACGGTTCTCACCCAGTTCCTCAGAGGGCTGAAGTCAGCCCTTGTCAGGTGCTGGAAAGAGAGCCTGGCATATGTGAGTGAGTAGCGACCTGGCCAGGCCTTTGCATGGCTTCCTCTTCCTGGATCTTCTCCCTGAGTTAGGCTGGAACCCTTGTTCCCACCATTGGGGTGCTTAGTGTCCACATCAAGACACCTGGTCTAATTCTCACACTTGACTGAGAGTTCCCCAAAGTCAGGGGCGGAGTCTGCTTACCACTCTACTAGGCACTGAATTCCACCATTCCACAGGCCTAAAAGCAATGGAGCCAGGTGGCCACAGACTGAGACCTCTGAGCTAAAAGAACCGTTCCTTCCTTTCAGTCATTTTTCTCAGGTGTTGCATAACAGTAATGGGAAAACTGATGCTACAAATCCTGGTTTTACAATTGGGAAACTGAGGCTTCTGGGAAGTGATATCAGACAGCTCCTAAGTGGCAGAAGCAGGAAGTTTGTGACTCAACCAAGATCCTGTTGACCATAATTCCAAAGCTGGGCTGTTCCGTGTGCTGCTGTGACCCTGTGATGTTGGTGTCACACACTCACAAAGGGCGAGGCACAGTCCCATACGCCTTTGCATTCCTATGTTCGACTTCTCGAATTAGCCCTGCTTTCTAGTGATTGTACAGGAAACTGAGGCACAGGAAATTAAAGTGACAAGCCAAGGCTACACAGATCAGGATTTGAACTCAGTGTCTCTCTCCTCCAGATACAGAACCCTGGTTCTGAACTTCGACCCTTGGGATAGGGGATATGGTATGAAGAGTGCCCCCTATGGGCAGTTCTAGTGAACTGACCACTCATACAGGGGACCGAGCTGAGGGGAGGAGGCTATGGTGGAGCTGGCACTCTCTGTCTCCACAGAGTGACCCAGCACACGTGTACACACTTGGCTCCCTTCATGGCTGGGTCACCTTCAGGGTGAGTCACCTCCTGGGAGATCTGGATGTCCTTCCGCCATGCTCGCTTCACGGCGTGTAGCTCTAGACAAAGGGCCTTTTGGATGCTAAGCCCATGTGATCTCCCTGGCGCCACCACTGCACTAATCCTTCCAGGATAGCCAAGGTGGCCCCAGGAGACAGGCCAGCCTCAGAGCCACTGGGGCAGGGCTGGCTTCAGAACTGAAGGCAGTTAGAGAGGCTGGAGGGGGGGACAACAGCCACCCCCAGGCAGCCACCGTGCTTGGCCCTCAGCAGGTCACATGGGCTTCTGCTTCCTCGGATTCTTGGATTTTACCTGAGTTTAAACGGTGATAGATGTGTTTGCTTATCCAGTATCTGGGGCACACCTCCTTGGTGCCAGGCAGTAGAGATTCAGATTTTACACAGGGGAAGCCCCAGTGACATAGATGGGACCACCCACTGCAAATGCCACTGCCAACTTCTCATGACACAGAGGTGCAGAGAGAAGCCCAGGGAAGGTCAGGCGAGGTCCAAATTGGTGATCCGAGCAGCTGGGGTAGAAACCACTCTGCTCAGGGCGGTTGCTCACACTCGGGGAACCTCGAGGGCCTGTGGTCTCCTGGGGCTTCAGGCATAATCCAGACATTTCATAATCAGCCTTCCACTCTCTTCACTGTACAGAGCCAGGCTGAGGCCAGAGAGGAGGAAGTCGTCCAATCCCAGAGCCCTCCTGGCCCTCGTGGGATTTCTTCCTTATCCCCCGTCTGGCCTTGTGGAGCCTACCAGGACCCTAGATGACGAAGCTGAGAAAGCCCTGTCCCTAGAAGCATTGTGTGCCAGGTCCCATCTTCAGTCTCATGGGCCAGGCTGGATTCAGTCACCAATTTGCTTTAAGCCGGCAGAAAGATGGCAGCAGAACTCATGCCCAGACTCTGTCCTTAGCCGTTCCATTGACGCCCCTGCTGCAGACAGGGAAACTGAGTCCTGAAGAGGAGCTGACAAACAGACTATGCTGTGGTGACACAAGCCAAGATTGTCAGGACTTGAATCTCTGCCACTTGCCTTCAGAGTCCCTTTGCTGCCAGGGAGGGGCAAGAAGCATCGCTTGGTGTGGGGCTGGCAACGTAGGCCTGAGTCTGGCCTTGGCAGGAGAGAGAACCCCCTGGCCTCTCACAGTAGCCGGTGGGAGGGCTGTGGCCTGGAAGGGGCGGTAGCAAGTGGATGTGGAACAGGCTCTGGTCTGGGGGGAGTGTGGGGAGCAGGAGGGCTCAGTGAGTGCCCAGGCAGGTGGAGACTCAGCCTTTGTCTGTGTGTGACACTGGCACCTGTGCTTGTGTTGGGCTGAGAGCTGGGCACACTCCTGGTTTTCCTGGAGAATTCACATCTCAGATGAGGTCCAGGGGTTGCCGAGTGGTCCAGGGGAGGAATAAAAAGCATGGAGGACAGCAGGGCTGGCAGATGCAAAGGCCCAGAGGCAGGAAGAAGGAGGGTAACAAGGAACAGGGAGGAGCATAAGGAGAGGACAGGGGTGGGAGTGTGGGGTGTCTTGGATGTCAAGGGGAGCCTGGGCAGTAGAGTGGTCAATGGATGCCCCTGAGGGAATAGGGGGTGACTGGAGAAAGCAAAGAGGGGACTTTGGGGGAAGGGGATGTTGTATAATGTGGTTAAGATGCAGGCTACATGGATACATAAAATCATCACAGGCTTGGTGCTTTCACTGTGTGGAAATTTACATAAAAAACTGTGGCCTGTGTGTGGAAGTGGTCGTGTCACGTCCTGCTGTCTGTCCCTCACTTTGAAATATATAAAAACAGGGCTGAGGATGGAGCTCAGTTGGGTGAGGGCTCACTAGCATCATACAGAAGGTCTTGAACTGAATCCACAGCACCACACAGACCTAACATGCTGGTGACTGGCTGTAATCCCAGGGAGATGGATAAAAGAGGCTCAGAAGTTCAAGGTGAATTTAAGGCCAGCCTGGGATATATGAGGCTTTCTCTGTCTCAATACATAAAAAGTAAAATAATCATGAAACCTAAAGGTGGCTTTGTGGTTGGATAAAGTGTGATAGAGCATGTACCACAGAATGCAAATGTTGGTGAGGTTGATGAAAGCTGGCTGGTGTGTGGTGTTCACTGGATGCCTCTCTTAGCTTTTCTCATATTGAAACACTTGGGTCGGCCGGGGGGGAATCTTCTGCACATCTAAAGCATTCTACCTGTGAGCTGCCCCACATCTGAACAGTTGGAGCCATATCCACCTCTCAGAGTCCCCAAACCAGCCTCATGAGGCATGTTTTGCCTCCATTTGCCTCACAAAAATAATGTAAACTTGTAGAGGACAGGGTCACACAGGGTGAACCTGTGAGGCTGAGCAGGTCCAATCTACCCACCAGGCCTCCTGGAATGGGCAGTACCTGCCTTGGGGGTCTCAACCCAGATATGCTCACCTGAAGGCCTTTCTGGGATCTCCAGGAATGTGCCCAGATCAGAGTGATAAACCCCAGCTCATGTGACACTATCCGGGGCTGAACACACTTCTTGGAATTAGCCACAAACCACAAACTCTTGTGGTTTTGGGGCTCAATGCTCAAGTTGTAGAGAAAATCTGAATTCCGGTCTTATAATTCTAGTCTGTCATAATTACCCAGCCCTTCCCTGTCTGGGTCCCTGCTTGGACTGTGGCCGCTTTATAAGGCTGATCAGTGACCAGACTCAGGCCAT